TGTATGTATGTATGTATGTATGTATGTATATATCTATGTATCTATGTATCTATGTATCTATGAATCTATGTATCTATGTATCTATGTGTCTATGTATGTATGTATATATGTATGTATGCATGTATGTATGTATGTAGGTATACATGCATGCATGCATGCGCACATATATATATATATGTACATATATATATATGTACATACGTACATACATACACACATACATGGAGATATATATGCATACTTACATACATGCATACATACATACATACATACATACATACATACATACATACATACATACATACATATATACATACATACATACATACATACATACATTTATACATTCTCAGGTACGTACGTACGTACGTAGACTCGTTATTAGTTACTTTCTTGCTCAATTGCGTACTTTATTACATACTTTCTTACTGTTTTACCTAATTATCTATCTACCCACCTATCTACCTATCTACCCACCTACGTACTTACTTGCTTACCTACTTAGTTGCTAAGTTACTTACGCACTCACATACTTCCATACTTACTTTCATAGTTGTAAACTTACAAACTGACTTACATATATATGTACATATAAACTTACCTGCAGACGTACATATACTCTATCTTTAACCTGGCCATATATCTTTAAATTGAGCATATTTCACATTGTCCATGTCAGGCCCACGGCCCAGATTCGCAATATAGTGCAGAAGGTCACCAACTACTATGTCAGTCGAGTGCACACTGAGGGCCAGAACAACGCCGACGGGAAACACCCAACAGGAAAGAAAATCATCCTGGGTGTATGTGCGCGAGAGAAGAAGGTAAGCAGATAGGCGGAGTGGTTGTATACTTGCTCAGTGGTGGTTGTAATCAGTGACAATATGTGGTTCGAGCCGGGTTTAATATGCCGCGAGTATGGTATCATCCGAGGTAGCGGCGTGCACGATGTCCGAAGTACTTCACCGTGTAGGTGTCTGGTTAGTACAAGGCTTCGACATTTATTCTTAGGCCAGAGGTAGCCCGTTCGTGAATTCCTCCTACACGTCACTACGGAAGGACAGCACCTATTTTATGGTGTTGTTTGTCCACTCGTTAACAGCCCTTTTTTCTTGGCATATCTTCTCAGACCAAAGGCAAGCCCATGCAAACCGTTCTGAATCATCTGGCAGAGACGGGCGACTTTGAGATCATTGTATTCACGGACGAGTGCATCCTCAACCAGCCTGTGGAAGAGGTGCGTAAATAGCTTTGGCTGCATTTGTGAATGTTAGCCTGTTGATAACCGGAGTGAAGGGTGTATGTATGTATGTATGTATGTATGTATGTATGTATGTATGTATGTATGTATGTATGTATGTATATATGTATGTATGTATGTATGTTTTTATATATATATTCTTATCTATCGGATAGGCGTGGGTGGAGAGATACAGTATTAGAAGTTATGGTAGTTGAGGGACGAAGTCTATATGGCGAGTGAGTTACACGCACTGTATGGTCTTGCTAAGCCCCACTGTGCCGAGTTGCTCATAGCTATATTAAGCTGTGGTGCGTGGCATACCTCACTGTTTTCGTTCCAGTAGAGTGCATGGACATGGTCAGGTGGTGGACGCTCTATTTAAATGGCCTGCCATTGTCAGGCGATTGTATTCGCGTACCATGGACACAGCATTTCATGAACTCGTAGGTGTTTGCGCGCCAAAACTTTGCACTCTGTTACACTCCCTTTTGTACAGCCACCCACACTGTAGTCCCCGTTCGTCTTCGCCAATACTGTGTCGCGCGTGTAGTGCCTATCTCTTGTTCACCCCAGACATTCCATATATATAGTCAAACAGGTTTATCCCAATAGCACCCGTCAGAAAATCACTCCAACTTTATAAAACCCTCTCTTTATGCGGTACGCAGCCTCAATAGCACTGCTCTCGGATGCGTTCTATTGATTGTCACTCTCATTTAGCACCCAACCGTGGTCACCCTCTCCGAAACAGTGTCGTAAACAGTGTTCTAAACAACACACTTACCCCACGAGGCCATTCTGTCCTATACAACACACTCACCTCATATGCACTGACCCAACCGCAGTGACCTCCCTGTCCTAAACAGTGTCCTAAACAGTGTTCTAACATCACACTTACCCCACGAGGCCATTCTGTCCTATACAACACACTCACCTCATATGCACTGACCCCACCGCAGTGGCCACCCTGTGAGGCGCTGATCTCATTCTTCTCCAGCGGATTTCCCATCCATAAAGCGCTCGAGTACGTGGACCTAGTAAAACCATTCCTGGTCAACGATCTGGAGTCGCAGAAGGTATGAAAACTCAACTGTTGTGTCCGTGCTTTGCTTGGTGTTGTGCCTATAGTATAGGCCCAACTTGTGGAACTGTTCCTGATCACAAACTGTCTATAGTCATAAAGACTTCGCCGAGATCAGTATATTGCGCGCAGAGACCGCTCAGAGAGACCAACAGCCGCTAGCGAATAAAATACAATTGATGTTGTATTCAGATAGATGCACACGCGGCAATGCTTGTTTCTCATCTCTGCTTTCTAATTATATATATATATATATATATGCTTCGATTGTCACAATTTTCTTCATCGCACGTAGGTATTGATGGATAGGAGGTCTGTGTATGCTTTGCTAGAGGCCAACGATATACCGACGCCTCGATACGCTGTGCTGGAGCGGGATGAGGACGGCAACTGTCTGCAGGAATTAAAGATTGAGGTATGGATAAGTCATGTGCTTAGTCACATAGCTGTGTGAGTAACGGTGTTTGAAGAGTTATATATATATATATGGTCATCGTATTATATAGTGCTATATATATACATGGACAGTACTATCGGATGAGAGGGTGACTCACAAACGGCACGACTGTGCTAGCGTGGGTCTGCACCTGTATAAGTTTGTCAAGGGGTCTGTGTGTGCATTGCATTGGTGTGTGTATTTGTCCGTGGTGTTAGGCGCCTGTGACCTTTGTGGATGAGTAGATAAACCTGTACTGTTGTGCGAGTGTATAAAGGGATGTGTCTATCATGTATTGGGCATGTGCACACCTATTCGCGGGGGAGGGGCTGGTGGGAGGTCTTGTGTAGGGTAAGTGTATTTCTATACTATTATATGTGTGTGCGTGCGTGTATATGTGCCGCTCTATAGACGTGTGACTACTTCTGTGCAGTTGCATGCGTGTGTGCAGAGGTGTCGGTGTCTCTGTATATGTGTCTCTCCACCAAGTTGTATATGCTAAGAATTTTGGGCGGTTAGACTCCACCGCCGGTGTTGAACGTGGCGCTATCGCTGAGATATGATGACATGCTGGAGTGACACAGGGAATAGTGATTAAACTATATATATATATATATATATATATATATATATATATATATATATATATATATATATATATATATATATATATATATATATATATATAT